CCGCGCCAATAGCGCTTCTGCTTCCTAGCAGAGGTGGGTTCATGACTCACCAAAGCTCCATCAGGAGACGTGCGCGAAGCGCCCAAAATCTTCGACTTCCAAGCAAACCATGGCTTATGATGGTTCAGCCGTGCCATTTTTAGGATAAGGTCATACCTTGAATCCAAGTCTATGACTAAGCAGCGTTCCACACAATGGAAGTCAAGAATATTTACACCAAGTTTCACAGGGACCCTACAGTGACACAAGTCCTCGTTGCTATGCGAATAGTGACGTGTCACTTAACCGTGCCTTCAGCACCTCAGCATACAGCTGACGTCCTTGGATTGTGGACCCTCGAGAATAATTGCCCGACTCCCCAGATTCGATCAGAATCTTCCATGGCTTTTCAAAGCCTTTCACGGTCGCTTTTACGAACAGCAAGCCCGGCTTGCGTATACGTTCAGTGTTCGAGAGCACGGAGCTGTTCGGAGCTGGTCCCTGCTGCCCTCTACCGCTTTGAGGCGCAACATCACTCACTTTTCTTCAGTATGCGCTCCGCGCGTACTGTGTCGTGTCGTTTCCCCGCGACAAACCAGACTGGTCAGAAGCGTGACGTCGGTTCGATGAACCTTAAGGCGTCTTGCGCAGGGAACAACCAGTCCGAAGGTGTTGGGTGTCTCCACAGACAAAACGCTTAAACGCTGCCCGGCAGCTTGGAGCTCTCCCTCCTCTTTCTCATCTCAGTATAGCTGAGATTCATTAGCTCAGGACCGCTAATCGAGCTCTAAGGATATGTTTCCAACCAAGTCATGTCGGCTTTAAGTTGGATTCAATGTCACATTCACCGCTTCTCCAAAAAAGGACAGATGCACACATAAGACTTCCATTCTGGCCACGCCAGTGCGGAGGGTCCATAAAGACGGTCACTGCGACCGCCTCGGAGAAAGGATTCGCTGCCATTCTGGCACCAATTCTTTCTTTCCCTGTCGGGCGGCAAGGAAATGCGATTGCCTGATTATGCGGCGAGAACACTCGCAGAAGCTGAAGCTTCAGCTCCATCCAGGAGGGAAACGCCGCTTTCAATGAAAATCCGACGTCAGTGGTCATTCTCGTGCTCGACCCCCGAGCCTGGAGATAGCTAGCACCACGCGCTGTTGCTTGTTCTGGAGCATGGCG